AATAGTTCTTTTTAAATCTTCATGACAGCAGAGCAAAAGTAGCAACTTGATTGCTGATGGTTGGAAACACATCTACAAGAGGAATATTTTTTTTTCTAGACTGGAGCCCCTAAGTCAGGGGTCTTCAAACTTGGCCCTTTTATGACGTGTGGACTTCAACTCCTAGAATTCCTCAGCTAGGCACGCTGGCTGAGGAATTCTGGGAGTTGAAGTCCACAAGTCATAAAAGGGCCAAGTTTGAAGACCCATGCCCTAAGCTCACCTACCATCAATAATTTGGCCTTAATCTTATTGTACATGGGGCAATGAAGAACATAGTAGCTCAAGTCAAAATGGACCGTCAAGAACTGGAGAACAGGTGTACCAGACAACAGGGACCAGGAAAAATGTCTTCTCTGCTTCAGCTCCTGCCCTCTGGAACATTCTCCCTCCAGAAATTAGGGTACCCCCCCCCAACTCTGCTGATCTTTAGAGAGGTCTTGAAAGCCTATGTGCCCAGGCTGAGGTCCCCAGTGTATGTAGGATCCCTTTTCCTAGTTGTGTTAACACTGTTAGATTTTTAACTTTTGGCTGCCATTTGTATTTCTTTTCTTTTTGCATTGTGTTTTAACCATGTTAATGGGGGGGGAGGGGGTTGTTCGCTGCCCAGCCATTGGTTTGAGATGGGCAGCTACACAAATTGAATGAATGTGACTCAGTCAATCAATCAACCCAGACTCTTGATCTCCCACCCTTAGATGGATGTTTTAAAGTAGCGGCAGCCCATTTCAGATTTGACAGCTGACCAGGTGACCAAGGGATCCCTCCAGAAGCAGCAGACACCTTTTCCCAGGTGTGCTAGCTGGGCATGATAAGGATTAATAATAATAGTAGTAAAGTTGGAAGGGACCTTGAAGGTCATCTAGTCCAACCCCCTGCTCAGGCAGGAAACCCTATACCATTTTGGACAAATGGCTGTCCAGTTTCTTCTTAAAAACTTCCAGTGTTGGTGCATTCACCGTTTCTGGAGGCAGGTTGTTCCACTGGTTAATTGTTCTAACTGTCAGGAAGTTTCTCCTTAGTTCTAGGTTGCTTCTCTCTTTGGTTAGTTTCCATCCATTGCTTCTTGTCCTGCCTTCTGGCACTTTGGAGAATAGCTTGACTCCCTCTTCTTTGGGGCAGCCCCTGAGATATTGGAAGACTGCTATCATGGCACTCTTAGTCCTAAGAGACCTTAGAGGTCTTCTAGTCCAACCTCCTGCTCAGGCAGGAAACCCTATACCAGTGATGCCGAACCTTTTAGAGACCGAGTGCCCAAACTGCAACCCAAAACCCACTTATGCATCGTCGGGTGCCGGGTGGGTGTGGCCCATTGGGTGGGCGTGGCTGCGGTGGTAACAGCAGACTGGGTGGGACTAAAAAGTTCAATCAATCAATTCCAATTTTGCAAGATCTTTTTTTCCCCCCCGCAAGAAGTTGAAATTGACTGATTGATTGAACCTTTTTTTTTTGTACACTGCGGCGGAGGACTAAAGTGAAAAGGTTTTATAAAACCCAGCTGAAGGCCTAGGACTGGGGCGACGGCGCGTGTGCCCACAGAGAGGGCTCTGAGTGCCGCCTCTGGCACCCGTGCCATAGGTTCGCCACCACTGCCCTATACCGTTCCAGACAAATGGCTGTCCAGTCTCTTCTTAAAAACCTCCAGTGTTGGAGCATTCACCGCTTCTGGAGGCAGGTTGTTCCACTGGTTAATTGTTCTAACTGCCAGGAAGTTTCTCCTTAGTTCTAGGTTGCTTCTCTCCTTGATGAGTTTCCATCCGTTGCTTCTTCTCCTGCCTTCAGGGGCTTTGGAGAATAGCTTGACTCCCTCTTCTTTGGGGCAGCCCCTGAGATACTGGAAGACTGCTATCATGTCCCCCCTCGTCCTTCTCTTCATTAAACTAGACATGTTAATGGGGGGGGAGGGGGTCGTCACCAACCACATTCGGAGGGTACCAGCTGAGGGCAGCTTCGCCAAAGATGCTGCCCTGTTAAGTGATGGGAGGAAGAAGCCACATAAATCATCTTTTTTTTTTTTTTGCAGCTGTTGCTGGGGCAAGTAAGACACCCCCCCAACGCGGGGCGGGGCAAGACCAAAACGAGCAGAGAAGTGGGGTGGGGGGTGGGTGGGGTAGCGGAGGGGCCTTCCGAGCTCTGCCAGACGGGAGGGTCTGTCTTTAAGGGGGCGGGCTCGGGAGGCTGGGAAAACGAGGCGGGATCCCCTCGCCCGGCATTCCCCGCCTTCTTCGCCCCTCGGAATCTTTGCATCCCATTGTCTGGCCCGGCGGATCGGTGCTGGAGAAGGGGAAGGGCCCTTTTTTTTTTCCCCCGGGGCTGGGAAACCGGGGGCCGAGGGAGGGGGGGGGAAAGAGCTGAAAGCCAGCAGCACGCAGCTCCTCCGGGAGAAGTTTGCATCAGTTTCGCTCCTTCCCCCCCCCCCACGGCCGCCCCGTTTTTGAAAAGAAATGGCGCTTTTTGATTTGTGCGTATGTCTGGCCCGCTGGAGAAGCCGTTAGTGGGTGCATTTGTTAAAGCAGAGGGGGAGACGGGGTCGTTTTGGGGAGGGGGCTGTATTGAGGAGGGTTGGGCTGGGGACGGAGTGGGGTGGTGGCAAACCTGTCCTCTGATTGGCTGTTTGGCCCCAAAGATTTGGTAGGGTGGGTGGGGGGGGAGGCAGTGAAAAAGGGCAGAGGGGCGAGCAGGCAGCTAACTTCAGCCTGGAGAGATGGAGAAGCCCCTTATGTTCAGACCAGACGTCCAGCTTTTAATCTGACTTAACCAGCAACCATAGCTTTTCACTGGTGGGTGCTTGCTTCTCTTTGATTACCTTGATTTAATAACGATTCTATGCTTGTACCTTTACTGTAGTGTGGGTCCCTTTGAGCACTAAGGATAATAGGATGGAAAGGTAATAATTATTTTCTCATAAAAGGTTCCCCGAGGATCCACTCTGGCTCAAGGGTGGTTTGGAATTGATGAAGGGGTTTTAAAAATGACATGTTGAGACTCTTCAGATGTATGAGTGGACATTACCTTTTATAGGTGCTTTTTTTTTTTTTTTTTTTTTAAAGACATTTTCTTTTCCTTAAAAATAAGTTTTGACTTGCTCTCTCTTATGCTGGCTTTCTGCTTGCAGGTAGTTAAAACGCACAGAGGGGATATTTCAGGAGGGTCTTCCATCGTAGTCAAAATGGGATGTCCGTTCTAGAAAGTTAGAACCAGATTGTCTCATTTCTCCTCCATTCTGAAAGCAGGTGTGACCAGAAGATTGGGTCGAGGTGTATTTATGATAACTGCTAAAGTAGTGGGGGGGGGGAAATAAAACCTTAGACAAGAAATATCCATTAGTCATCCTGGCAGGAGATGATGTCCAGCACAGTGGAAGGACCCCAGGATGAGGAACGTCAAACTCGCCTGTTGTCTTGGTAGTGGAATAATCATTGTAGAGTTGTTTTAAAAAAGAGTAGTTTTGCTTTATGACAGATGTTTGAACAGACCAGGATCTCAATGGCTAAAACAGTTACAGTTCTTATCTTTCATCTATATTTACCAGGTATCGTAAGGTAAACCCTCTTACCAAATTCATTTATTCTTCCTTCTTCAGTCTGGATTCTTCCTGTTAGCTTCCATCCCAGAATGAAGGGGGAATGAGAGAATCCAGTTCTAACTTTCTAGAATGGACATCCCATTTTGACTACAATGAGATATTCTCCATGTGCATAAGGGAGAACAGATCAGAACTTATTTTTAAGGAAAAGGAAATGTCTTTTTTTTAAAAAAAAAAGCACCTATAAAAACTAATGTCTTCCACTCCACTCGTGCATCTCTCAACATTTCATTAACTGGGCAGTAAAAAATGTAACAGTTAAATTCCACACAGCTGGAAAACACCCCATTGGGAAAAATTGACGTGGTCTATCCTAACCCATACCAGGCTCTTTAGAAACTCTATAGAGGAATGGCTTAATTTTCATTTGCTACCTGATTCACTGAACCAGAAATGTTGGGTGTGAGAATTGCATGCAAAGCCTGAGAGTCTAGGACGGCCAGATTGCAAAAGGTAAACTTCTTCCATCTTCCAGACTGATGTAAATGGATAATCTTACAGCTTGATCTTAATCTACCTTATAGCTTAGTAAGGTTTAGTTAAACTAAGGTTTTGTAATGTTTGTGTGAATATATATTATCTCTAAAGCATTTTGAATGCTAGGTCCAAAAAATGTAGTCTGAGGTTGTATGAAGTAATCTAACAGAAGCCAAATAAAGTTTTGGCTGGAATGGAAAGTCTTTGGGTCCCATTCTATGGAAGAGAAATGGTACATAGAATTTCATAAATTTCATAATTGGAGGGGACATCAAACCCATTGAATCGAATCTCCTGTTTAGGACAGAAATCCAGATTTTAGCACTCATACAGAGAGTTGTCCACTTGCTCTGAACGCATCTAGAGAAGGGTTCACCACCACTTCAAGCCATTCCCCAGTGATTCCCTTCCAAAAAAATGGTTCTTGCCACTTCAAAGTTTCTCTTAATATTCAACTGAAATGTGCTCTTAGAGATCTTTATCCCACATCCTGCACTTAGGCCACAGAAAAATATGCTACAGTACCAGTGCTGGAGGACTATTTGGATATTTTATACTTTGAGACATTCCTCTGATAATGATGATGATTGGGAATCCCAGCAATTGTAGACCAACACATTAGAGTTATAGGTCAAACTGTTTATATCAGGGGTCCTCAACCTTGGCCACATTAAGACTTGTGGACTTCAACTCCCAGAATCCCTCAGCCAGCAAAAGCTGGCTGAGGGATTCTGGGAGTTGAAGTCCACAAGTCTTACAGTGGCCAAGGTTGAGGACCCCTGGTTTATATGGAGATTCCTCTTCTTTCTCTGTCTTGGAATAGATTCTATTTATGGATTCTGATCATCTTTTTCTTCCTTTGTCAGCCAGGAATTGCTACAAGTGGAATTTATTGGAAATGACCCCTGGGGGCCTCTACGGTGGTTGGACCCTCCTTTTCTTGTTTCTGGCACCCCTTTCCTGCCATCCGTGCCCCATTCCTTGTGAATGTTCTGAGGCAGCTCGTACAGTGAAGTGCGTCCAGAAGGAACTGAACTCCATCCCAGCTGGTATTCCTGGGTACACCCGCAACCTCTTTATAACTGGCAACCAGATTGCCCATGTTGGTAGCCAAGATCTCCAAGGACTTCACAATCTGGTCACACTCTCCTTGGCTAACAACAGGTAACGCACCCTAGTGGGTGAGAAACTACACTCAGATGAAATGGAGTAGGATAGGAGACAGGTTTGCCCTTGTTATTATTGGCTTAAGAAGGCTACAGGGTGGGAGCATATTAGGGTAAGGACCTCAAGCCTTGGAGGAAAAATACAGGTAGACCTAGATATACAATCACAATTGGGACTGAAACTTCTGCCACTAAACAAGGCAGGTGAATTGTGCTCAAATTTGTGATCTTTTTCACTGTGAATAACCCATTTCTTAAAGAAATCTGACTTCCTCTGTTGACTTTTCTTATTAAAAGCCAACTGGGAAAGTTGCAAATGGAGACCAGGTGACCCCCCCCCCAGGACACTGCAACCATCATAAAGACATGCCAGTTGCCAAGTGCCCAAATTTTGATCATGTGACCATGGGAATGCTGTGATGGTTGTAAGTGGAAGGACTAATTATAAGCTATTTTTTCCAGCACTGTTTGTAACTTCAAACAGTCACTAAATGAATGGTTGTAAGTCAAGGACTACCTGAGAATACGGTGGCCACTTTCTCAGAATGACTGCCAGGAGAGGGAGTTGCCCAGACTCAACCCAGTTGCTCCGTCAGTTAGAACAGTCTCAACTACCAAAAGATAAATAGTGAGGATGTTCCTTGTTGCTCCCTCAAGCTGACCCAAGATACTACTGATCCCCCAGTTCATCTTTGACAGGGGGTTGATGGGCACACTTCCAAGCAAAGCATGCTATGCAAAGGCCTCTATTTTTATTATTACCAACCTAATGCAACATTGGAAGAAAATGATGTTGGAGATTGGCCCTGTTTTTTCTCTCTCTCTCCCTCCCTCTCTCTCTCATATAAAGCATATACTATATATATAAAGCATATATAAAGCAGGATGTTTAAGCCTTGTCTCCATAATTGAACGTACTCAAGGCCTTGCGATACACATGGCAGAATCTTAAGTTATGGAAAGCTGCCTTTGTATCAGAATTAGATTGAATCTATGGCCTGCGCTGTGCATGAGGCATCGTGATTAAAATATTGTTCCCAAATGCTGGTTCAGGAATTCTGGGAGTTGAAGTCCACACATCTTAGACTTGTCAAGTTTGAAAAACATTGATGTAAATTGTGAGCACGAGGCCTACACTTTGTTAGTGGCAGCCAATAATTTGGTATTTTTCAGCTCTGTGTAGTCCAATGTGCAATTTTTATGTAGTCCAACTATACAGTTATAATCCTCATTGCATTATTCCTGGGCCTTGGATGCAGGTTTCCTTTGGGTCAGTCCTGGAGAAAACCAAATGGGAGAATGAACATCAGTTCTCCACATTCTCTTGGTGCTTTGCAAATTCTCCTATTGTAATTCCATACCTCGTGTTATCAGAAAACCCGATCTAGTCAATTTCATAATTCCTTCTGGTCAATGTCACGATGCTGATTTAAAGAAATGGGCTTTACTCCCTTCTTTATGTGAGCTGTTCCAAGTCCTCCTGGCTTGCGGATGCTTATGAGCCTAAGGAAGGGGGGGGGGAATTAAGCAGCCTGCACTTTTCCCCAGTAAAATCCCACAAATTAAAACTGCACATCTTTGTTATCAACGCTTTTCTCTTATTACCCACTGCCTGATCCTTTTCACTTAGATATTCCAGAGATCTCCTTTTGAGTCTATGGAATGTTCCTTCACCTTCCTGCTGACTGACTTTACAAGGAGGGGCTAGTGATAAAAAGATTAAATCAAGATATATTTCACATGAGGTTACTTTTGAATAATGCCAGTGTTGTCCCTTTTCACCTTCCAGGATTAATGCTGTGGAGTCCCATGCCTTCTCTAATCTCCGGAGTCTGCGCTACTTGGACCTGAGTTATAACCACTTAGTCACCATCCACCCTGATGCCTTCAGTGCTAGAAACAATTCAGTCCAGGAGCTGAATCTCAGTCACTCACTATACAACTTCTCTGCCATCCACCCGGTGGCAGCTGCCCTTGCCCAAGGGGGTTTCCAGAATCTCTCCAAGCTTGAACTCACCAGCAACAAGATCATTTATTTGCCACTAGGAATGTTGTCCAGTCTCTCTAAACTTGAGTACTTAGACTTGAGGAACAATTCCTTGATAGATATTAAGAACTCTACCTTTTCTGGACTTCACCTTAAGTACCTTGATTTGACCTCAAATGCCTTCAAAACTTTGAGGAGTGAAGCTTTATTTGCCCTGGAAAGACAATCCCACCTTAGCCTCTTTCTGAAAGACAACCCTTTTGTATGCAATTGTGACATTGAGGACCTGGTCAACTGGCTGAACCAAAGCCGGCAAGTAGTAGATGTGGAAAAACTAGCCTGCATTTCCCCCCAGGATTTGAGGAACACCTCCTTGGTGGAACTAGTGGGAGCAGATCTGGAGTGCCACTACAGTCAACATAGTGAAAATGTTCTTCAGTCCTCATATGCTGCACTGGGTATCGTTCTGGGGATAATTGGCATCATCTTCCTTTTTGTGCTTTACCTGAATCGTAAGGGCATCAAGACCTGGATGAATGGTCTACGGGATGCTTGCCAGAACCTGATGGAGGAGTACCACTATCGTTATGAAATAGATTCTGATCGCCGCATCACACAAATCTCGGCAGTGGACATATGACCTCCGTCTTTTCTTTGCAGTGGCATCTTTCTTTCAAACAAAGCCTGTGGTTTGGAGATGTCCTTTCCATCAAAAACTAAACTTTAAAGAATTGATGTATAGATTAAACTCTGTGTGGATTCAAGGGATTTCCTTTCTTAGTCACAAGGAATTTCTCTAGGAGATTTGACTAACTGGGGACAAATGATTGCATTCTCTTAGTGCCAGTCTTGTAAACGGGAGGGGTAGGCAAGTCAAAATCCTAATCTGTTCAAATATTTAGATTCCTAGAAGAATAGGTGTCCTGGATTCTTGCAGTCAATCTTAACTAGGAGAAATGTATTTTGTTCTATATCAACAAGACCATTTATGTAGCTTGCTTGTGGAGGAAACCGATTCCTTAAATTACAGTGGGACTTTGGTTTGTTACATATTCTGCACTCTAGACCAGGGTTTCTCATCCTGGACCACTTTAAGATGTGTGGACTGCAACTCCCAGAATTTTGAGAGTTGCAGATCATACATCTTACGGCCCAGGTTGAGAAATCTTGCTCTAAGCAGACAGATGAAACATTATGTGAAGAAGGAACAATAGTGTGCAAATGATTCTGATCTTCTGATAGAAGAGGTGGAATAGTAGTAGATTAAGAAAAGGCAGATGTAATCATGACTTCCTTGTCTCCTCTTCCTGGGACAACTGTGAGGAGGGCTTTCCTGTTGTGATATCAAGAACCTTGACAGTCCACCCAAGTGTTGACTTACAGGCAGGAAGAAACAAAAGCAAAGTTTATCCTTCAGAAATGATGTATCTCTGATTGGGGGTCAACAGCAAGAGAGATGGTTGAAACCAAGTCCTGCTTATGAGCATCTCAAATGAATCTGACTTGTCATTACTGTATAGGGATCAAAGTGCTTGACTGACTATATATCAATATGTTCAGCAGGACCCCTTCCTGTGTGAAATTCACCAGCTTGATTCACAAGCATACTGAGATCTGGCTTACTTCTCTCGTATGGCTTATGGCCTATGTGAACTAGCCAATGTGATTTTACAACTATGGACTATGATTTTATATGAATATGTTGTGTGAGCACACCCAAGTGCGTGTGTGTGTTTTAGTAAATCACAGTTAAGTAAACTACAAGTTAGCATGTATGGAAACACTCACTGCCTTAATTCAAAAGTATATGTGACTTGGCATTTGTGACAAGAGAAGGAATGTGTATTAAGTTAGAAATATGTTGTGCTTAATTCATTCAATGGATTCCACTGAATTAAATTAACTGGCTGGAGAGTTAAAAGGATGACCCTATGTGCATGTACTTTAATGGGTATAGCATAAGCTGGGAAGCTGGATCGTTGGGGAATTCTGGGAGTTGAAGTCCACACATCTTAAAGTTGCTGAGGTTGAAAAACACTGGCTATTGTTTTGTGAAGTATGCAAAGGGCAAGAACATTTAGTAAGGTCCAGAGTCCAAGTTGATAAAATAAGTAGCCACAATTTGGAGGCCCAGTTGCAGAATTCAAATGCAAGTATAACTTAAGCATGCAGCTGGTGAATTAATAGAAACTAAAATCTCTAAACCACATTTTGTTCAGTCTTAGGAAAAATATAACATGTGGGCTGGCATCAGCTCTAGAGTTCAGTATGTTACATTTTCTTTAATTCCCAAGGCTGCCAAGCATCTGGTACAACATGATGTTTTATTGTATTAAAAAAATGTCATAGTAAAAACAATTTTTAACCCAATGATTCTATTCATGTTTTTGCTTTCTGTTTTACCTGAACTGATTTTTCCACCCAGCTTGGGGAATGGGAGTCTCCTATTGTGTAGCCTTATGCTTGAAGGGCTTATATCTCTGAGGAACTGTCTAATTTAGTGTTTCTCAACCTCAGCAACTTGAAAATATGTGGATTTCAACTCCCAGAATTCCCCAGGCAGCACAGCTTCTGGGAAATGAAGTCCACACATCTTCAAATTACTGAAGTTGAGAAACACTGGTCTAACCAAAGAGAGAAAGACCAGTGGTAGCTAATTTTTTATTCCTCAGGCCCAGAATGGACTTCCGGAAGCGGCATCCACACAGAGAACTGGTTGTTCTCATATTTGAATCCCACCACTGGAAAAGACCCATAAGAAGGAATAACGGCCTGAAAGTCACCCATCCATAGTGAATTGAGCAACTGATTGTTATGATTGTACATCCATTTACAGGTAGAACCTCTGAATGCTGGTTTTCCATCTCATTGTCCCTGGCTACCGTGTAGCAAAGAGACTTGAGTTTCCTACCTAAACAGCTCTCCAAACCCAGATGCTGGTTGAGATGTAGTCAAGATTGGGGTGTGTGTGTGTGTGAAGCCATGCAAATATTCAATTCCCCCCCCTCCTCTTTATGAGTTCTGGGCAAGCCTAGGTTAGAAAAAAACATTCTACATTTTAAGGAACTGACATACTGCTGTCATGTTCTCTGCAGCCTAACAGTGCATTCTGTCCCCAACAGTGCATTCAGGACGAAGTGGATACGTCTGATCATATGACCCAGGTGAGCTCTGTACCTTTGTTTTTAAGGTATTGTAAATAATTTTCTTCAGAGAGAGGAATGCTTTAGGATGGCTGATCTTCTGAGATGGCCTCTTGTGGCTTGGGGAAAGCTTAAACACCAAGGAGAATGAGGATAGAATAGAGTTGGAAGGGATCTTGGAGGTCATCTAGTCCAACCCCGTTCAGGCAGGAAACCCTATACCATTTCAGACAAATGGCTGTCCAGTCTATTCTTAAAAACTTCCAATGTTGGAGCATTCACAGCTTCTGGAGGCAGGTTGTTCCACTGACTAATTGTTCTAATTGTCAGGAAATTTCTTCATGGTGCTGGGTTGCTTCTCTCCTTGATTAGTTTCCATCCATTGCTACTTGTCCTGCCTTCAGGTGTTTTGGGGAATAGCTTGATTCCGTCTTTGTGGCAACCCCTGAGATATTGGAACACTGCTATCATGTCACCCCTAGTCCTTCTCTTCATTAAACTAGATGTTTGTAGTGTTCGTATCTAGTCAATCTTAGAGACTCTAAACTAGGGGTGTCAAACTGCCAGCCCGCGGGCAGGTTTCATCATACCAAAGCCACACCCACCCTATTGCCGGCAATGCAAAAAGAGTCACAATACATCGCAACATGTCACATGACGTGGCGAGTTTGACACCCATGCTCTAGAACAGGGGTAGTCAACCTTGGCTCTTTTATGACTCGTGGACTTCAACTCCCAGAATTCCTGAGCCAGCTAAGCTGGCTCAGGAATTCTGGGAATTGAAGTCCACGAGTCATAAAAGAGCCAAGGTTGACTACCCCTGGTCTAGACAGTATATAAGAACACCATCTATATCCAAGGAACAGTACAATATAGGTAATCCTTGTTTAGTGACTGCCTTGGATAGTGACCATCTGCAATTATGACAGTGATGAAAAAGTAACTATCACCAATCCTTGCATTTACACCCTTCGCAGGTCTGTGAAGCAAAAGAAAGATGAACCTGAGCCATGCTGGCTCAGGAATTCTGGGAGTTGAAGTCCACAGGTTGTAAAGGGGCCACAGTTGCTCCACTCTTGCTGTACAAGTTTCCAGCCAAGCACAAAATAACTTGCTTCTTGAAACGGAGATCCTAGACTTTTGTTGTGAAGCCATGTTACCACTTCCACATAATTTTATACATGGTACACCTGGGACTTGACTTTCCCTTACTAATTCCCTTTTTTTAAATTTTAAAAAAAATCGAACATACAAGAAAACCCAGTTTCACAACCACACTGTCCTACTCTTACTTCCTACAATCTACAGCAGGGGTAGTCAACCTTGGCTCTTTTATGACTCGTGGACTTCAACTCCCAGAATTCCTGAGCCAGCTTAGCTGGCTCAGGAATTCTGGGAATTGAAGTCCACGTGTCATAAAAGAGCCAAGGTTGACTACCCCTGATCTACAGGGTGGTTCTGAAGATGACACTGTTCCCAGCTAAACTGCCCTGCTTTTTTGGAGTAGAGGAAAAGGGGGAGACACAAAACTTAAAAATAAAACATTCTTTTCCTTTTATCCTCAGGAGAATGTATGTTTTCCTCAGAGACCCCTTGAAGAAAAAATACAGGCATCCGTCACAACTTTAGTCCATTCTCTGGGACCCCTGAAGCCCCACTTAGCCACGGATCGCTCACTTGGTCATCCCAAAGATGCTTTTTTCACGAGGCAACTGGATTTGCTTGTTTTTCTTTGAACACGTTTCAAGAAGCTTCTTCAGCTCTGGGTGCACAGCTGAATATCTATGGAGATTCTCAGTCATCCAGAGCTGAAGAAGCTTCTTGGGTGAGAAGCGAAACGTCTTCAAAGAAAAACAAGAAAGCCCAGTTGCCTCGTGGAAAAAAAGCATCTTTGGGATAACTATGACCTGGATGACTGAGAATCTCCATAGACAATTACCTAGTTCAGTGATGGCAAACCTTTTAGAGACCGAGTGCCCAAACTGCAACCCCAAACCCACTTATGCATTGTCGGGTGCCGGGTGGGTGTGGCCCATTGGGTGGGCATGGTTGGGTGGTAACGGCAGACTGGGTGGGATTAAAAAGTTCAATCAATCAATTCCAACTTTGCAAGATCTTTTTTTTTCCCCGCGAGAAGTTGAAATTGACTGATTGATTGAACCTTTTTTTTTTTTTTTGCACACAGCAGCAGAGGCCTAAAGTGAAAAGGGTTTATAAAACCCAGCTGAAGGCCTAGGACTGGGGCGACGGCGCGCGTGCCCACAGAGAGGGCTCTGAGTGCCACCTCTGGCACCCGTGCCATAGGTTCGCCACCACTGACCTAGTTTAACATTGGCTAATCGTGGTTTGGGGCCGGGGAACCTTGCGCAAACTCCAGCCAGCGCGCTGGTTCCGGGGGGGGGGAGGGAAGCAGCTGGTGGTGCGAACGGGCGCCCACCCACCCCCTCCCGGAGACGAGCGCCTTCGACTCCGCTCCAGTTCCGCCCAGCCAGCCGCTTGGACTCCAGGCCTGGTTTCCCGGCGGCTGCGCTGGGCGGTCTTTCCCTCCTCCTGCGGTTGATTCAGCAGCTGGGTCTCCTGCTGAGCCTGCCTCGGCGGCGCCTAGTTGAGAAAAGGCTGCCCGGCCGGGCGGACCGAGGGCGCTTCTGAGAACCGGCTTCTCCTAACTTCTCCGAAGAAATTGCTCAGCCAGTCGCCTCGCCTCGCCTGCCTGCTTGCTCTCCCACTCCCCGGCTCGCTGCCTGCATCTGAGCCTTGCAGAAAGGGAGACACCCCACCTGGCCAGGTAATGCGCGCGCTCTCTCTCTCTCTCTCCCTCTCCCTGCACTTTTCCCACTTGTTTTGTTGGCACAAAGTTGGCAGGTTTGCGCCGAAAGTTCGCCGGCTTGGAAACATATGGCCGGGCAGGGCCGGGCGCGGAAAGCGAGCCTAGAGGAAGCCGTCGAGAGAGGGAAAGTGGGTGGCTGGTGCCTTGTCCTGGGTTCCCTCCTGGCTAGGCAGATCCTGTTCCATTGTGCGCACCGGTTTGGGCACTGGCCAGGGCGAGAAGGCAGGCTGGGTGTGTGCGCACGTCTGCGTGTACGTGCGGGCTTGTCTGGGGAGCGATACCTGTGGGGCGTGTTCAGACAACAGGCCAAGCTAGGCTGTCTTGAACTTGGCTGGGCTTGTGCAATATATCGAGCCACGAAGTCACAAGGCTGAGCTGGGGAAACCCAGCCTGAAGAGCTGCTGGCAGCTTTTCCGGAGCTGCCAAGTCTGGGCCTGGAATCTTCTGCGGGATTCCCCTTCTGTCTCTTACTAGGGCAGGGGGTCTCCAACCTTGGCAACTTTAAGACTTGTGGACTTCAACTCCCAGAATTCCTCAGCCAGCAAAGATGGCTGAGGAATTCTGGGAATTGAAGTCCACAAGTCTTAAAGTTGCCAAGGTTGGAGACCCCCTGTACTAGAGACTCGGACCAAGCGAGCTTCACCCTTCAGTCTCCGAGATAGTAGATCCCTTCGCTTTGCGTGCTGAACGTAGTTACTCTTGGTTAGTTTTGGAGAGGAGGGGTAGGTTTGATTAGTTGCAGATTCAGTTTATAGCTGAATCTTGCAACTAGGTAAACGCACCTGGAGTGGTCTTACAGAGGCATCAACACACAAGTACGCACCCTCTTTAGGGTTCCAGTGTGTTGTGTTCTAAAGACAGTTAGCCAATTGTAACCCTAATCCTTTTCTCCTCCTCCTACTAAAGTGGCCAACTAAAAATGCATGGGCCAGGTTATGCCAGACTCCCAATGTTGGTATCGTTAAAATCCAAAGAGAAGTAAATGTTTGCAATGCTGTAAAGACAGTGCTATAAGGATTATCTTTTATGGTGTAAAACCTTTCTATAAAACTTACCCCAAGGGAAAGTGGTAAAGACATACAATAGGGAGGTGGCAATCCCTTTTCTTGTTGGTTTCCTCCTTGCTTACCAAGTGGTGTTCTTACAGGCAGACGTCAAATAGAGAGAGCCAGCTGCCTTTCAGTTCCCCTTTGGTCTGTACTGATTAATTTCTACCTATTGCAGCAAAACTTTGCAGGGCGCTGCTTATTTTTGAGTAAAGGTAGAACAACTGAACTTCTGTCTTCGGCACAAACACTTCTTCCTGTTTTTGTTTCTTTCCTGTTTTCATTCTGGAGAAACTTGACCTGTGTTTTGTAAAACAGATCTGTCTTTCAAAGAGAATGTACAAACATACATATCTACACCTCTTTGCACCTTTAATAAATTTGCTTAGAATAGCAACAACCCTTTTGCAGCTCAGGACTTGGAGCTAAATAATTTGAGGCTTTGCACTTAATGTTGCTACTAGAGCTTCCTTTTTATTTGCATATTACTTCAAGATGTGGTAAGCATCTTGAGGGGAGGAAAAGCAAACTACCTGCACATTTTGCTTAAAAGGAACTTTTACTTAGAATTTGCATTTTATTTAAAATATGTGTACCCTTCCTACTGTCCCAAGACTCTTGTGTCAGGTTCAGAAAAAAAAAGATAACAGTATTCTTGAGTGGTAGGCTACAAGTCACTTAAAAAGGAAGATAAGATGTAAAACCCGTTTGATATAGTGGTTAAGTTGCTGGCCTAGAAAGCAGGAGACAGTGAGTTCTAGTCCTGCCTTAGGCTGGCTGGATGACTTTGGGCCAATCACCAGGAGACTGAGTTCTAATCCTGCCTTAGGTATGAAAGCCAGCTGGATGATTTTGATGACTCTCAGCCCAACCCATCTCATAAGGTAGTTGTGGGAAAAATAGAACAAGGAAGAAATATTTAATATGTTTGCTCCTTTGAATAACCTATAAAGTAATAAAGGTGGGATAAAAATCTAATAAATACATGCATAGTTACCTATCCAAGCAGGATACATGGTAATTTTAAACATGGTCATCAACATAGCAATCTCAGCAGAGAAGCATTTGAGAGGCAAGAAGCTATAGAAAGTATGTCCCAAATATAAGAGTACAAAACATGAGTGGTTTCCTGGTATCAAAAGTTGAAGAACAGGGGAGACGGTCTGATCTGCAGGGAAAGGTCATTTCCAAACTGGAGCATCTTCCCAAAGGATAAGTCTTATAAATCTCTCTGGAGGAGCAGCAGAAAATAACATTACTTTACTTCCTTTGAAGCATCACCTAAAAAGCTATTTCAGCTACAGCAGGGGTGTCAAACTGCCGGCCCGTGGGCCGGTTTCATCATACCGAAGCCGCGCCCACCCCATTGCCGGCAATGGCAAAAAAGCTCCGATACGTCGCACGACATCATGTGATGTCGCGAGTTTGACATGCCTGAGCTACAGTGTTGAGTTTATTTCGGAATCAGATGCTATTAAGAAAAAGTACAAGTCCATTATAGGAGCTGGTCAACTAATCACAAACATTTTTATTCCTTCAGAATTGCTATTTTAGTTCTGCAGTTGCTTTTAGGAATTCTGTTCAGATGGTTATATTTTATCTTTAATGGAGAGTTGGATCACGTGCAGCTGTCATTTCTTTGTGAAAAATAGTCACTTTAAAAAAACCGCTCTCATCTTGGTTGAGAAAAACCTCAAAAGCAAACTAGATACCCAAAGTAAACAAAGGTGCCCTTTAACATAGTTTTTCTGCTTAATTCTCCCCTTTCTATTAAGCCAGGGGTCTGCAACCTTGACAACTTTAAGACTTGTGAACTTCAGCTCCCAGAATTCCTCAGTCATCTGGCTGAGGAATTCTGGGAGCTGACGTCCACAAATCTTAAAGTTGTCAAGGTTGTATTAAGCTACTAAAGTTTTAAACCCATTTAATACATGGCTTAAAGTTGAGAGTCCTTAATTTTAACAACAGGAGCTCAGTTGCATGGTGTGTGCACACAAAACACCCTTTAGCAAGGATATTCTTTGTTTAGAAAGGGAGTGTCTGTGTTCCAACAGGTGAAGCTTGTAAATACCCAAGGAGGAACTTACAGTGTTTCACCAGGAGCTTTACAGATTTTTCTTCATTTCTTCCATACCATTGTTTTTGTTTCTTTGTTTTCTTAGTACTTTAGGTACCAGCTATTTATTTATTTCCATACCACCCACATCTTCAGTCATGGTAACTTTGGGGAGTCCCAGTGGAACCACAATCAGCACAAGGGAAGAAGCACACTGAACTTCTGTGAGGTGAGATGTTTGCATGAAGGCCTTAACTTTATCTAAACAGGACGTGGGTGTTTGGTAGCATCTTAGCTTGCTTTGACAGTAAGTATCTTCCAGTGTCACAGAAAAATATGGTCTAACTGGACAACTGGCTTCTCCTAAGTAAGGGGTCTTCAAACTTGGCCATTTTATGACTTGTGGACTTCAACTCCCAGAATTCCTCAACCAGGCATGCTGGCTGAGGAATTCTGGGAGTTGAAGTTCACAAGTCGTGAAAGAGCCACATTTGAAGACCCCTGTCCTAAGTGATCATCCAGAAGCCTTAGGAAAACTAGAAAGCAGAAGATGTACTCGATAGCATCTCCTGGTTGTGTTGCTGAGAGCTGGTGTTTAGTACTACCATTACATTAGTCAATATAGGTGTCATGGTTCCGACAGATGAATCTCTTCAAAAGAACTTTGAGTCATTGTTTTCCTTAAAGAATCTTTTATTCGAGAAACAAAGTATCGGTACTACATAGTTGAAGCCAAAAACTGAATTCCCTGGCACAAAGTAGCAAAGGACAATTCTCTCCTCCAATTAACAGTCATAAATCACATTCCCCAATTAACTTGAAGCATGGGCTTTCTCCCCAGCTCTCCAGCCTGCCATATCTCTATCAACTCTATCAACCCTATCAATCCAACCTTGGGTTCTCATGGCTGAGTTATTATTGTTATGACTAGCTGGACTCTCATCCATATTCCCCCTCCCAGCTTCAACGAACTCTAAAAGTAATAGAGAAAAAATGGCTACATTTCCATCTGTTGTCAAAGCAAGAACATCCGATGTTAGCAGCATTGACATCCGGCCCCCCTTACAAAAAGGACAAATCCTGTAATGAAAACAAAAGCACAGATTAGGGGTTGCCTCTTGGTTTGTTAGGGTGTTTCTTATAGAACCTATTAATGAGTCTGTCAGCTTTTACATCACTAGAGTTCACCCAGGTGGCCTCAGACAACGAATATCCCTTCCATTGCACTAAGTACTGCAATTTCTCTTTAAAAATTCTTGAATCAAGAATACGCTTTACTTCATACAGTAGGGAGTCTGTCCTGCCACTATGAGGGGTCCGGGTGCCTTCTTAGGGGCAGGTCTTAAGGTAGAACCCTGAAAAGATTTCAACAGGCTACAATGGAAAACAGGTTGAACTTTTCCTAAGAGCCTGGGAAGTTTTAACTCCACCGTGACCAGGTCCTAAGTACTTCGGTCCTAACTTCTTACTAGTAACTTAAGCTGTAAATATTTAGTTGACAGATAAACCTTTTCCCCAACTTGGAATGTTCTTTGAGGAGCCCTTTTTTATCTGCCTGTTTTTTGTATGTCTCGGAAGCCTTTTTCAAAACAGTTTTTGTGGTTTTCCAGACTTCCTCCCACCCCCTCACCCATTGATCAAGAATCTGGGAACCGGCAGGTGCTTGAGAATATTCGGGTATTGGGCTGAACTCTTTTCCTGTGGCCACTTTAAAAGGCGTGAAGCCGGTGCTGCTGTGAACAGAGTTATTGTAAGCCACCTCTGCGAAAGGAAGGAGGTCAGTCCAGTTCGTTTGTTGATAATCCACATAGCATCGGAGATACTGCTCCACCATTGAGTTCGCAGATTCAGCCGCC